CTTGCGGTTCCCATCAGGCTCTCCTCAGTTGCACCTGCAGGGGGAAAACGCATAGACCCCCATTCGCCCATTCATCGTCCGCCGATGAGGGCCCGATAGCTCACCCGACCCAGGAAGGTGCGGATTCGCTCTCGGGGGCCCATCGCCGATCTCTCGGCTGTGTATCGCCGATTCCAAGCCAATGTTCCCCCCCCCAGAGCCAGCCCCTCCTGTCGTTCCCTCTCATCTCCAGGGTCGCCCAGGGAAGTCTCCACACAAACCCTGGGCGCGGAGCGCTTTCGGGGGCGCAGCCCCAAGCCTTACCAGGACGCGGGAGCCAGAACACCACCCGAGCTTCCACAGGCCTACTCTGGGCCAGGCCAAAATATACCCTGGCGGATGTCGACTGCCCCTGGCGAGGCGTGGAGGCCGCGTCCACCAGCACCTGGGCCCAGGTTGGGCAGGCTCGGTGGTTGTCAGCCACATGCGGAGCGGGTTGGGGGGAGGGGGGATGGCTTCTTAGAAGCACCCGTGCTTCTTAGAAGCCACCTATCTCTCTCTCTATATATATATTTAGATGTATGCATGCATGCATGCATGCATGCATGCATGCATGCATGCATGCATGTATGTATGTATGTATGTATGTATGTATGTATGTATGTATGTATGTATGCATGTATGTATGTATGTATGTATGTATGTATGTATGCATGTATGTATGTATGTATGTATGTATGTATGTATGTATGTATGTATGTATATGTGTATGTATGTATGTATGTATGTATGTATGTATGTATGTATGTATGTATGTATTTATGTATGTATGTATGTATGTATGTATGTATGTATGTATGCATGCATGCACGAATGTATGTATGTATGCATGTATGTATGTATGTTTGTATGTATGCATGTATACATGCATGCATGCATGCATGCATGCATGCATGCATGCATATATGTATGTATGTATGTATGTATGTATGTATGTATGTATGTATGCATGTATGCATGCATGCATGTGCATGTATGTATGTATGTATGTATATATGCATGTATACATGTATGCATGTATGCATGCATGTATGTATGTATGTATGTAGGTAGGTAGGTAGGTAGGTAGGTCTGTATATAGGTATGTATGTATGTATGTATGCATGTATATACATGTATATAGGTGCGTGTATGTGTAGGCGTGTATATGTATATATAAATATATACATATATGTGGACGGCCCTTCTAATAAGCAGCCTCCTTCTAAGAAGCCCTCCCTCCGCCTCCACCCCCTTGTGCGCGCCGCCAAGGTTGTGGTGGCGGACAGGGTGGGGAGCTTGTGCTCAGCGTGTCGCACCGCCGCCAGTTCTGGCCCACCACGCCTCGGCGCGACACGCCAACCGCGTCCCCGTCCCCGAGCATCCGCGTCCCAGGCCTTCCTTTCAGCCTCCCGCTCCGCGAGGCGGAGCGGCACGCGATCCGCCCGCAAGGCATGGCGTGTCGCCGAGGCTGCCACCGCCGCGACACGCTGAGCAGAGCAGTTCTGGCTTTTCCCTCTCCCGCTGCAGAGGAGATGGGAGCTCGTGGGGAGGAAATGGAGAGGGAGAGGAAGAGGACAGCGGGTGAAAGGAGGCGTGGTGTGGGGTAGATGAGGAGGCAGTTTTGGGGAGTCAGGGGAGGAGTGGATTAGAAGGAAAATGAGGAGCGGGATACGAGCCAAGAGGTTGGATCAGAGAGAATAGGTAGGAGGACTGACACAGATCCTCCTCCTCCTCCTCCTCCTTTTCCTTGTCGTTGCACTCCTCCTCCTCCTCCTCCTCCTCCTCCTCCCGTCTCCTTCTCCCTTTCTTCTTTCGGCCTTCTTTCCTCATCCTTTCCCTCCTCCCCCTTCTCCTCAACTTGCTCCTCCTCATCGTCCTCCTTCCACCGTCCCGCCCCCTCCCCTCCTTCTCCTTCTCCGGGGGTGCGCCGAAACCAGCACCCCAACAATACCACCACCACCACCGCCACCACCACCACCACCATCACCACCACCACCACCACCACCAACAACAACAACACAGCGACGACGACGACGACAATAACAACAACATCAGCAACAACAACACAACCAATCATTTTAAGGTCGTTCGCTCCTATCTGCTCGCGTGCCATTTAACACGTGTATCCCAAACCCTCGGTACTCGCCCTCTTTCGTCTTCGATAGTACCCCCTAGGGGGTATATCTTCCTTACCTGCCACGTGCATTTAGTGCAGCCCCTAAGGCAGTGGAAGAGAGGACGGATGGAAGGGGGAGGGAGAAGGGTTGAGCGCGAGATAAGTTTGCAGGAGGGGGGCTAGGAGCAGAAAGCACGTGGTAGACGCAGACGGGCAGACCGGGCCGGCAGACCCTAGCGGGCGGGGAAGGCGGGCCCAGGCGGCCAGGTCGAGCAGGCGGCTCGCTGAAGCTTGAGTCTGGAAGTCTCGAGCAATAGCGCGATTCCAAATTAAATAGTGAGAGAAAGAAGGGCGAGAGCGTGAGGTCCAGAAACACCAGGAAGCTTGAGTCTGGAAGTCTCGAGCAACAGCGGGACTCCACACGGAATCGTGAGAGAAGAGAAAGCAGGGCGAGGGCGTGATGTCCAGAAACACCAGGCAGCGCACCGGGCGCCCACGATGCGCCCACTGGTGCCCGCTGGGCGACAACCTGGACACGCCAGCGAAGCGTTAGGAAACAAATGAACAATGCTGTCTCTGTCTGTTTCCTCGGGTCTCGCCGGAGACGTCTCTCGGGGGGCTCCTGGGACCTCGAATTCAGCCCATCTTGGGGGGACATCTTCGAGTTTTTGGGGTTTGTTGGGCCGTACCGGGCTGGTCCTCGGGCGTATTGTGGCGGCTCAGAGCCGCCAGGAGGCCGAAAAAGACACGGGGGAGCAAAACCAGGTGGACGGTCTTCGAACCACGCCTGTGAAGAGGGGGGCTGGCCCCAGAAAATCGCAGAAGCCCTACAGTCGACCCGCATGGGAAGGATAGACAACCTTCCCAAGGGTACCTTTGCATCCTTGCCTCCTCGCTCCATCCTTGGCCTCTTTCGTTGGCCGCGCCCCGCTCGAAAAGCTTCGGAATGGGCGTCCAAGGCCCTTGCACCCGCATCGCGCATCCTTATGATACGGGTTGACTGCATCAGAACCAACAGCGTTCGATCTCTCCACATTGTGCTCTTCCCGCTCCTCCAGCTCGGATGTTCCAGGGTCCCAGGGCGCATGTACCTCCAAGTCCCAGCAGGCCAGTGACATGCGCCCGCGCCTGGACGCGCGCACAGCCTGGGTGAAGGTGCGGCCAGGCGGCGCCTACCCTGACCCTGACCCTGCCGAGGTCTCTCCTCCTCTCCTCCCTCTCCCGCTCTGGCTCTCTCCCTCCCCTGTCCTCGCCAGCTGGCCTTCCCCCTGTGACGAAACCGAGGTCGACGGAGGCGCCTCCCCCTTCCCCCCCCTCCCGGGAGGCACTCTGCGCCCTGGTGCGGGAGCAGTGCGTCGCAGTGTTCCACGAGGTCGACTACGACGGCTCCGGCACCCTGGATTCTGCCGAGGCCAGGAGGAGGCGGAGTTTTGGGAGGAGGAGGAGGAGGAGGAGGTGGAGGAGGAGGAGGAGAAGAGGAGAAGAGGAGGAGAAAGAGGAGGAGAAAGAGGAGGAGGAAGAGGAGGAGGAGGAGGAGGGCCCCCATGGGCCCCGTCGCGATTGGCACTGGGCGTGTTTGTTTGTGCTCTGGTAGTTGGCAGGCGTCGTGCAGTGTCTTGCGCCCACTTGGTGGTTTCTGTCGCGGGTCCCCTCGATGGACCTGACGTGAAGGGATTCAGGGAACTGGCGGTCTCGAGGTTTCGGAGGTGGCAAGGACAGAGGCAAAGCTTGTGTGGATCAAGCTCATGACTCAGCATGCTCGCCGCCGCCCCCGCCAGGACCGTGGAGATCGAGGAGGCCACCATCACGCTAGCCCGCGTCCGCCAGTCCTGGCAAGCGGTGGGTTTGCGCCCTGTGCAGGTGCAAGCCTAATGGCCACGGTTGGGACTTCTGCAAGCAGGCCGGAACTGGAGCTCCCACACGAGATGTGGACAAGGTACTCGACCCTGCGGGCCGTCACCGTGTTTCTCGCGGCCCTCCTGTTTTGCGTGATCAGTTTGCAGGTACGTCGGCCAGCGGGACTGACAAGCCAGAGCTTACAGACAGTGCACTTCGCAATCTCATTGGGTTGTCTGCTGAAGCAGGTGATAACGCCAGCGCGTCCAAATACCAGAAGCAGGCTGGGTATTCTATATTTCAGGGTGTAGTCGAGGAGTCCTTGCAGTCACGAGTGCCCAAGTGTCGTGCTCGGGTCCAGAAATTCTTCACGCTTCGCGTATCCCCACCAGCCCATCTCAAAGCAGCAACTCTAGCGAAGCATGCCGACAGTCGTGTTTTTCAGGCGTGTTTCCGCCTGCCCCCGCATTTCTCCCCTGTTCCTCCTTCCTCCCGCCTCCTTGTACATCCTCCTTGTGGTGGGAGCGGGAGAAGGACGAGGCGGAGGAGGAGGGAGAGAAAGCGCTCCTCGTGGTTTGAGTCGTTCGGGCTTCTCGTCCTGGTGTGAGTCGTTCGGGCCCTTCTTCCTGGTGTGAGTCGTTCGGGCTCTTCGTGGTGTGAGTCGTTCGGGCTCTTCGTCCTGGTGTGAGTCGTTCGGGCTTCTCGTGGTGTGAGTTGTTCGGGCCCCTCGTCCTGGTGTGAGTCGTTCGGGCCCCTCCTCCTGCCCGTCCAGAAACGACGCCCAGGCGAGTAGAGGGTCGTCCTGATGGGCTTTTCGGCGTCTTGGGTGCCTCGGGGGGGCCTCTTTGGGCCGTTTGGGATCCTCTTGGGGGCCTCCTGGGGGCCTCTTGGGGCCATCTTGGGGCCTCTTGGTGCCTCCTGGGCGCTTCTTGGGGCCATCTTGGAGGAAATCGATCAAAGAAGAGGGGAGCTTTAATTAGCACTGCCCCCTCAGAAGGCCAAAATGGGGCCAAAACCTTAGTAAAATCAATGATTTTGGCTTGAAAGAAGAGGGGAGCTTTAATTAGCGCTGCCCCCTCAGAAGGCCAACATGGGGCCAGAACCGTAGTAAAATCAATGATTTTGGCAGCACTTTTCTGCCTCCCCCCGTCGGGGCCAGAATCCTCGTGAGGGGTGTCGTTTTTTTAGCCCTCCCAGGAGTCGAAAAAGACCCCTCTGACGACCCGCGAAAAGGACCTCTCCAGGCCCAGGGGTAGGGGGTAGGGGGAGGGGTAAACCCCTCCCCGAAGGGGAAGAAGGAGGGTTGAGAACAGAGAGAGCTCGCTAAACCACTCACGCCCAAAGGGCTGGTGGGATTCGAGGCCGTGCTTGAATCTGAAGTTGAGACGCTTGAGATGCATGTGGAATGGTCGAATACTCAGAGGATGACGGTGCAGGCAGGATATCCAGGACATACTACAGGAGGCCGATGGCGAAACTCAGAACCTTGTACGACATTTTGCGACAAGCCCAGAAACTGCTCCGCCCGTTCCCCACAAGGGCAACATCATCGACGAGGTCAACGGCCTCCAGGACATTGCATCGCTTATTGACGATACCTACGTCAGCATCGACGATGGGGAGTATGAAGTATCTGGCGAAGATAAGCAGCATATCCAGGAACGCAGGGCGTAAGTACATGTTGAAGTCCAGAATATCGTGAAGGGCCTCTTCGAGGGGGCTGCCGCGCAGATGGAAGCATCGGTATGTCGCATGGTGAACGCATCCTCAGGCTGGGCAAGAGGAACGCAAGAGCAACGCTGGCATGCCTACTGCAGCAACACCACCAGCTCAAGCATCTTCACCAACTGCGACGGCTAGTGGGGGGGCAATGCCACTCCCCAGGCCCAATCGCTACGTGTCCTTCGAACGCTCGGCAAAGGCGGAGGAGCGGGCCGACAGCGCGCCAGCTTCAGCCAGTGCATCGTCTGCTGACATACGAGCGTGCTCGCCTGGCAGTTGCGGAATTCGCAGCGCCTCCTTCTAGTTGGTTCCTCCGCCTCGTGTTGCTTCGATGTGTGTGTATATATATATATATATATACAAGACTGCAGTGGCGCTTCGCGCCATGCACCTTGGTCCTTGAAATTTGGTATGCAGGCGGACTAGCGGGAAGGGCAAGCCGACAATTTAGCGATAACTCTTTTTTCTGGCATCGCCGCTATAATAATTACCTAACAGCGAAGACTGATAGGTTTCTAGTTGACTCAAAAGAGCTCACAGATCACTCCACAGGGGGGTCCGGGCAGGTGTTGGGGCGTTTCCGGGCGGCATGAGCCGGGCTCGTTTTTCACCAACAGTCACACACTTCGTGCTCTTCGCCTTCCCAGAACTCCATTCCCAGGCCACATTCTGGGGGGCCGGATGCAACAGTCACACACAAAGTGCTCTTCGACATCCCAGAACGCCATTCCCGGGCCACATTCTGGGGGGCCGGATGCAACAGTCACACACTTCGTGCTCTTCGAGTTCCCAGAACGCCATTCCCGGGCCACATTTTGGATGCCCGGAGCCAACTGTAGGCCACTTCGTGCTCTTCTATTTCCCAGAACTGCATTCCCGGGCCACATTTTGAATGCCCGGAGCCAACTGTAGGCCACTTCGTGCTTTTCTATTTCCCAGAACTCCATTCCCGGGCCACATTTTGAATGCCCGGAGCCAACTGTAGGCCACTTCGTGCTCTTCGAGTTCCCAGAACTCCATTCCCGGGCCACATTTTGAATGCCCGTACCCAACTGTAGGCAACTTCGTGCTCTTCGACTTCCCAGAACTCCCATTCCTGGGCCACATTTTCAGCAGGGGCAAGAGCACGACGAGGAGGAGGACGAGCAAGACCAGGAGGACGAGGACGAGCAGGAGCAGGACGAGGAGCAGGAGGAGCAGGAGAAGAAGGACGAGCAGGAGGAGGAGGAGGACGAGCAGGAGGAGGAGGACGACCAGGAGGAGGAGGACGACCAGGAAGAGGAGGAGGAGGAGGAGGAGGGGAGGGGGAGGAGTACCAGGAGGAGGAGGAGGAGGAGGAGGAGGAGGAGGAGGAGGAGGACGAGGACGAGGAGGAGGAGGAGGGGGGGGGAGAGTACCAGGAGGAGGAGAACGAGGACCACCAGGAGGAGGAGGAGGAGGAGGAGGAGGAGGAGGAGGAGAGGAACACCAGGAGGAGAAGGACGAGCAAGACGAGGAGGACGAGAACGAGGACGACCAGGAAGAGGAGGAGGAGGAGGAGGAGGGGAGGGGGAGGACTACCAGGAGGAGGAGGAGGAGGAGGAGGAGGAGGAGGAGGAGGAGAGGAGGAGGAGGACGAGGAGGAGGAGGAGGAGGACGAGGAGGAGGAGGGGGGGGGAGAGCACCAGGAGGAGGAGAACGAGGACCACCAGGAGGAGGAGGAGGAGGAGGAGGAGGAGGAGGAGGAGGAGGAGGAGAGCACCAGGAGGAGGAGGACGAGCAAGACGAGGAGGACGAAAACGAGGACGAGCAGGAGGAAGAGGAGGAGGAGGAGGAGGAGGAGGAGGAGGAGGAGGAGGAGGAGCAGGAGAAAAGAGGAGGAGGAGGAGGCAGGCTGAGGCTGAGGCTGTGACTGCGACTGCCGTTGCCGCTGCGACTGTCATCGCGAATGAGACTACGACTGCGAGAACAGCAGAATTCGACAACTGGATTTTCATCTGAATCTTAAGGGGAATGCTTTCAGATATGCTTCTACACATCGCTGTTAGGTTGCTTTGCCGGGATAATGTTTTTCGTTATCCTTCCTCCATGCTTCTTTTTCTAATTTTCGCCATGCCCATGCTTAAGGGGAATGCTTTCAGATATGCTTCTACACATCGCTGTTAGGTTGCTTTGCCGGGATAATGTTTTTCGTTATCCTTCCTCCATGCTTCTTTTTCTAATTTTCGCCATGCCCTGCGCATTCTCCCCATCCTCCTCAGCCATTTTTGCGGAGGCTCCTCCTTGGAGAGCCTCTGGGGGCCTCATGGGCGTGTTCTGGAGGCTTTCTTAAGGCCTTCTAGAGGCCTCCTGGGCGTGTTCTGGGGGGTTCTGGGGGTTTGTCGGGCCACCCTGCCTCCAACCGTGGTCTCCCTGAACGACTGGGTCACGATTTGGAATGCTTCGGAGGGTGTCTTAGGGCCATCTTGGGCCGCCATGGGGCTCCCTGAGGGCCATCTTGGACCCCTGTTGTGCCGTTTTGGTGCTCTCTTGGACTGCTTGGAAGCCCTTTCGGATGGTTGTGGGCGGTTTTGGAGCCTCCCAGGCGTCTTCGGACGCCCAGAAGACCGCCGTCTTGGAGCGTCGGGAAGCCGAAAAGAGGAGAACCCCAAGATAAGCCATAAACCAACAAAATCAAGGATTTTCGCCTCTTGGGGCCTTTTTGGGAGTGCTCTTGGAGGCCTCTTGGGACGTTTCGGGACGATCTTTGGGGGTATGACGGCTTCTTGGGGGTCGTCGTCGACCGTATTGGGGTTCTCTAGGGTCGTTTCGGGAACGCGCCACGTCCTGCGAGGCCCTGGGGGCCGCTTCGAGGCCCGTCCGGAGGGTCCCTGAGCCCCAGATCCCGGGAGTCCGGTTTTGGGGGGGGGGGGTGACGGGTTTTCCCCCCGCCTGGGCTTGTAAAAGTATAGAAAGAGGAATGTGTGTGTATGTGGGGCAGAGTTTGCGATGCGTTTTCGGGCCTAGGCCGTTCGACTTGGCACCTCCAACATCGGGGCCGCTTGGAAATCCGCCCGGCCAGGGGCCTCGGGCAATGCCGTAGATTTGAGCTTCTGCCTCGTGATGTTGGTCGGTGTGTGGGTGTGTCTAGCACCTTGTCTACCCGCAACCGAGGGCTCGTCTCACAACGCTCAGTTGCAGGTTGGTTCCCGTGAAGGCCCCTGCAAGCCTTCTAACTTGTGGGATCCGCCTGGAGCTGCTCCCTTTTCCTTAGCAGTGGAAGCCTTCAATCGCGATCCTGTGGCGGTCGTTCAAGAGCTGGCTACCTCGCGCGGGGCCAATGTAGTTTCATTACTACAGAAGCGCCACCTACCAGCAGGGGAGAAGAACTCGATGCTGCCGCTTCCTGGTGCCAGGCCTACGGATGCAGAGCCCCCTTTGCCCCTGTCATCGCCGCCCTCTCTGGAGGCACCTCTGGATGGGGTTGGGGCGTTAGCGGGATCCTCCTCGGGGCTGTGGGCCCTGCCGGGAGGCCGCGTTCTCTCTCCCGCCAGGTTGGTTGGTGGTCTCCTGAATGCGCCGGGAGGCTGCAGCTGCCTCTTGGTGTTACGCTGCCTGCGCCACTCGCAGGGCCTGTCTGACAGCGACCTGGGCCTGCTGTCACGCGCGGCGGCGGCGCTTGATGTGTGGGCAGGGCCTCCTGTCTTCGGCGGG